TTACATTTTACAAGTTAAACAATCATTTTTAGTATCTGATCCTAGCTTTATTTTATTATCGGTGTGACAACTAATACCAATTGAGGTAATATGGATACGTTCATGTCTCTTTTATTCAAATGTTTCCCTTTAAAAAAATGAAAACTTATAATTGAAGTGATTTTACTCAAATACAATACTTCTTTGATGCTACTTTGTACTTGTACTCCACCACATTTATTGCACTTTTGATCCCATTACATTTGTTTCACAGCTTAATTTGCTATTGACTTTAGGATCAACATTTATATTTAGAAATGTTTATTATATTTGTTGTCATAGGTGAGGTTACCCAAAAGTTTAACTCAATTGTTAATAATATCCTCAAGATTAGCATCACCTTGACAACTCTTAATGTTAATAAATCAGTATTAATGTTCCAATAATTTATGAAAAATATATCTCTTTCAATGTGGACACTTTTCAAATGACTGTTACTCTTAAATACATCATGTTGCTACTAGTCGTGTGTATATATAATAATAATAATAATAATAATAATAATAATAATAATGCATTACATTTTTTATATAAAATGTTCTAACTCACCAAACTGAACAGATAATAATGACACTTCAATCCGCCCACACTGTTAACTGTGCCGGTTTATTAATCCAAAACGTACTTAAACTAATCACATACAGTCCACAAGTGTTTCATTACTATTTATAACACAGTGCAGATCTGCATGGACAATCAGTATCATTAAAAGTGCAAGCTACAAACAATGATTGCTCAAAAGCATTTGAAAATACCACTAAAAGAAGAAAAAGTTGGACTTAATTTCCATATGAGTGGACCTCAAATCTGCTGTCTGATCATAATTGTCATGATAGGAAGACAGCATAGGGTAGATGGAGCACTATTTTTAGAGTGGTGGTTGCATGTTATCATTGGATAGAGCACTATACTGCCAAATATTTGATTATGTATTCATTTGTGTTATTATAAAGAGTTAAGAACATTTACAGAGGACATGTGTAGAGCAGCACACAATGACTTCTTGTGTGTCCGTGTCTGTTGAAATGTCCCGCAAAGTCGTGTGGGGTAATCTGTGGTCCCAGGACTGCAACATATCCACAGAGTGAAGAAAGATCGTATTTCACCTAATCCCTACCGCGTTACTCAACAGCAGCAGCCCATATGAAGCCCACCACAACCCCAGAGAAGAGCTCCAATCTCACTGCTCCTGTCCATTAAAGGTTTTTTATTGCAGTAGATAAGAAAGTAATCAGAATTTTCTCCACAGAAACTGAATATATTAATGTACAAGTTGCACAATATTCAGTCCTAATATGGGAAACAAACTCTTTACCTCTGTTTCAGCACTTCCGCTGTACAGCTCTGTGGTCAGATGCCTGGCGTTCTCAGGTTCAAGTTCCAACCACACCTCCAAAAAACTTTCCATAAACAACATGTCACAACATAATCAAATAAAAAGAAAGAATCCTACAATGACAGAGTTTGCAGTAAACATGGGTGCATTATGAGACAATTGGCCACTTGGGCGCTGATATGGAAAAGGCCCTTTGCTAAGCAAGAGACACTGACTTTGCATTAATTTAGCCTGTTCTTGTAGTTGTCTTGTGTCTCTTTGTAGTCAACGTGAGACTATTTGTAGTCATTTTGAGTTCTAGTTGTAGGTCTTTAAGTGGTAAAACACTTTTCATAGTTGTTTGTGATATTTAATTGTGTCATTGCAGCATTTTTGAGTGTTTATGTAGTTGTTTTGGTCTCTTTCAAAGTATCTTTGTCTCTTCCCAGTCCTTTTACATTTATTCGTGGCCATTTTGAGTCTCTTCCTGGTCAGTATGTGTCTCTTTGAGTGACATGTTCTAGGTGAAGGCCCTATAGACTTTTGGCCCCTGGCTCTGTGCCAGTTCAGTAACCCATCCATGACTGTACAGGGCTTTTCAAGGCATGTTTGTCCCATCGAGGGTAATTTATCTACTTTTAAACTTTGGCCCTTTTTATTTTTTGCAAGAATCTTTTAAAGTATCAATTTTTAGACTCATGATGACCGACAAGTTCAGATCTACAGCAATGTGTGTGTTGTCTGATATAATCAAAGCCTTACACTATTGGCTGCTGCAACACGAGTGAAATAAACTGGCTTAGTGCCATCAAGTGTAGTTTAGCGGTCATTACCAAATGGTTTGCTCACAATAAATTCAAGGACCATCAATAATATCTCAAACTATAGAGAACTAATGTGACATTTCTCACCTAAGAATGACATTTTGATTATTTAATTTCATGAGAAAGATCAAACCCATATCAGCCTGGACCATGGAGGTGAGGTGTCTGGTGTTGGTCTGTGATTTATGGCTCCACCATGCGGCAGGAGCATACTAGTAGGCCTTCTGCAGAGATATTTGATAAATAACAGATATCTCACTCAACCCATTCATCTGTGTACTTCTTCTGCTGTCCAAATACAATCCCAATGTTTGATGTTTATTCTTAGACTGGTGCAAAATCTCGAGTTAATGTCTATAGCTAATATAAGTGTGCACATAATTATTATTGCAAATACTTTTAGTTTCTCTATGCACTTTTGACTTTTATCAAGAGCGGTCCTGTGTTTTTGTCATGCAATTTGTTTTAAACTAAATGAAAAAGCCATACAGGCAAGGGTGGCCTCTCTAAACCTCTTTGCTGCCAACACTAGTTTTACAAATTGAATACATATTCATATGAAATAAGAGGAGAGTTAGCTGAATGTACATGGTGGTTTGGTTAGAGTATGTAATACCTAAAATAAGTAATTCTGCATGTTATACTTTTTGACCTAAGTCTGTTATAATATAGCACTCAGACTCTTTTTTGTTTTATGCCTTTTTTATCATAAGAATGTAGTTAAATGTTTCCCTGTTTTAATGCATTGCTTTAAATAAACGTGTCTACCATCATAGAGACGAAAATGGTCAGGGACTTACAAGAACATTTTGATCTCGATGTTTAATAAATACATGAACAGAGGAAGCAGGATTTGTTGCTGAGTGAAACACGAACTAATAATAAAGGATCTTCGGCAGCAGGGAGACGAGGCGACGTCGCTCTGCCGGTTTTAGCCGAGTGGGGTCGAAGTGTCCCGCCAGCTGCTGGTCTCTATAAACAGGTTTCTCCCAATGCAGCTCTCCACCCGCTCTTTGTCCGCGACCGGCTGACCGACGATACGTTCCCCTTTAAGATTATGTCGGAAACAATTATGCCTTATTTAATTATTTTCTGTAATCTCGGCAGGCAGAAAAAATGGACTAAGCAGCAGCGTTGAAAAGCAGCGACGTTGAGAGAGCAGTAGCATCATCTCATGTGAAAGTGGCTAACAGGAGTCCGGTGTCCTTGCGTGTGTCAAAGGCACCAGCGGTGCTTATTGGAGGCTACGACACTTTTCTCCGGGACGGAAATGTATTTCCATATAACAGAAGAGACTCGGTGAATGCGGTGAAAGTACTCCCCCTTTACCCTGCAATGTGTTAGACGCTTGGAAGAGACCACTGGCAGTAGCATTTTGGCTCACATTTGACAACACTTCAGAGGGGGTAAGTAACAGTATGCGTCTGTTCTTAAGCCACGCAGTCACTGTATGTGTTTGGAGCAGGTGTTAGTCTTTATCAAAGCTGGTTCGAGTCCCCTCCACTCATTACAATTTTCATGTAATTCTCCTCACACTGCCGCTGTCTCTTTATTGTTAGTAGCTACTTCACAGAGGCCAGCCAGCCCCTGGGTGTTAATTCCCCCCACGTCCCTTGTCACCCCCTCGTTTAAAAGCTCTTATGTAACCCATTGGGATTCCTTTTTTTTTTTTTTTGTGGAAAGACTTCCTGGCCCTGTGCAAGGCAACAACACTGGCTGTTAGAGGAGCTCCATATGCACCGACAGAGGAAAGCACAGGCTGTTCACATTCCTGCCCTCAACCGGGAACACTCCTGTAATACAGAGAGGCAAGGGCTCCCTCTTCCCTGAAAACACCCATCACTTCAGGGGTTTTCTCTAACCACAAACCTTTTTAAGTATACATGTCCATTTCTGTCTCTTCATGTTCCCATAAAGGCTACTGACTGTTATAGCAACACTTGTCAGCACAAATCAACTTTGTTTTCTTAACAAGCATAAAACCAATAGCTAGAGTTTTAGAAGCATAAAACACCACTGGGTCTGAAATAGCTACAGCAAACATTACATGTATTTATCCATAATTGTTTTGGCCTACAAATCATCATTTATCATCTGTGCTCTTTTGTCTATCTGAAATTGGGTCACAAGTGTTCAGGTATGATCTCATAACCCCAGTGGTACATTTACTCTCTGTGGATGGACAGAATTGGATTAAATAAACAATCTCCTCCTGTGTGGTACAGTGTGCTTCTGTTCAGTAGAAAAGTGTGGACAGATATTTGCTCAGTGTTTAAAATAGTGTAGTCTCACTGTGAAAGGACCCAGTGTGTCCCCTCTTACTCTGCAAGTGTGGGCCAAAATGCTGCGTTCCTGTGAACTTTCACATCAGTGTCACTCCTCAAGTGACGTGCAACACGTGGTCCAGCAGACACACCCTAGCATCTTGGTAATGCCATTGTGTCAAATAAATAATCAGATTTTAAATACTGTAAGTAAACATGATACCGGGACACTATGGAAGTAGCTAAATGGAATTCAGCCTTCATTAATTTACTATTTTTTTGTAGCTTTTTACTATGTTTTGAATGTTTTTAGAATCTTGTTAAATATTCTGTTGTTTAAACTATAAAATAATCCTGTGTTCTTCTTTCCACAGTTTTCCACGTCTCTCTACCTGGGAACCAACCGTGGTCACAACATCCTCCCTGTTAAACACCAACAATGACTTCCCCAGACTCTCCCCCTCTTGTCTCCCCGTCCCCATGCCCTGCTCCCCCTCCATCCCTCCCCTCCTCCCCTGTTCCTCTCCCCAGGCCCGTCTTCCTCCTGTCCCCCCCGCCCTCCCTGGCCTCCCACGGGTGAGGTGATGGTGCTGGCTCTGGGCAGGAAGAAGCAGCGAGTCCTGATAGCTCTCTCCATCCTGCCCAACCTCTTCCTGGCCTTCCTGCTGTCTTCCGACCCCCTCATCACCCTCTCCTCGCCCCACCACTGCCACCTGCCGGGGCCCTTACCGTCTCCCGAGGTGCTGAACGCCTCCCTGCCCTGGGAGAAAGGGGGGAGACCTGGGGAGAGCGGGGGCCTGTCTCACTGTAAGCAGTACCTCAACGGCAGCCAGTCGGCGGTGGTGGGCTGCGAGGTCGGATGGGACTACAATGTCACGGAAGGACTGAGGAACAACATCGTTACTGAGGTAAGCTCCTAAACCCTCTCATTACAATCCTAGCATAGTTTATTGTTTTGCCTTTCTGTGGAGGGGGCTAACATTTTGTTTATGTCTGAACTAAGGTCTTTAAAATGCTGAAACAGTAGTTATCCACAGGAGGGTCTTGCTGAGCATGCAGCTTCCTTTTTTGCAATGCCCTGCTAAATTTAAGCTGCACATTTTTCGGATTAGTTGGACAAAAAGTCTTATGCTGGTGGTTTGTACAGTAGAACCTTGAGCCTTTAATTGCTTTTGTAAGGTTTGTATGGGGACATGAGTTGTTGTGAAAACTCTTTCCTTAAAAAAAGGCCAATGCAAGAGATTTGGGAGATCCCTGATGCCATTTCCCTAAACAAAGCTGCTGTTTGCTGCAGGAACTGATGTGCGTAGTACCTGCGTGTGAGGTAGTCAGACTGTTGTCAGAAATGAATCCCAGGACAGGATGATGCTGTTGTCCCAAACACATCCCTGCTACACAACCGAATTACACATGATTGGTCAGCTTCTCACCTCTGCTTGAGACTCGCTACGTTAGCTGCTAATCGGAAAACACCTGAGTATCTGACTAACCTTTTGGCACCTTTCGAGAAAGTTGTGAAACCACGTTGAAGAATGCCCGGTGACTCATTCAGAAATGTTTGTTTTCACCTGCGTCACTTTGTCAAACTGAAAAGGCCCTGAGGGATAGATTTGACAGATTTCTGAAGTTTTTCTTTAATATTTTACTAAGTAAGACCAATTCCTTCTTATAACCAGTTAACCATTGCGAGTAAGGAAAGAAAGAAAGTGTATTTAAAGTGGACCTATCATGCTATATTGGAAAAAGATATTGCAGGGCCATACTTATACAAAACATGTCTGTGAAGTTTTTTGCTTAAAATACCAAACAGATCACCCGTTATAGCCATGCCTCATACTGCTCATACCCCTCTTTTGCAGCCCTGTTAGGCCCAATCCCAAACCACACCCTACCCCTACACACTACCCCTCCGTTTGCGCGTTCGCGCGGAGGGTCCGCCACTTTAAGTGCTGTTCCAAACCAACGAGTGTGGAGGGGGAGTGGGCTATCAAGCCCTCACACATCGAGTCTGCATCGGTGCTGACTTGAGACCGGTCTCTACCTGACCGCTGTGTGTGTCCGTCAGGAAACACGCTGATTACAAGTAGTTCCAGCAAACATCCACTGATAAACTGCGATGTTAACAACCTCATGATAACCTCATATGTTTTTAACTTAGGATCATACCTGTGTTTAGTCTAGAACAAGGTAAATGTGTGCATTTCATTATAACAAAAAAAGAGGAGGTGGAGATTATTGCCTGATCAGAATTCTAGCAGAGATAAAGTTAAATTCTGCTGTGATAAAACGCCATCCTGTTCTAAACCACATCAAGGATTATTTCTGAAACAGTATGGAGCTCAAATGCTTTTTCTCTTGCGGGTTTATCACAAGGTGAGTTCCTTTTTTTTATTATTTCCTGCTTTTTAAACACATGTGCTCTACAGTACAGGTTAGCTCTGAGTGTTAGCGAGGCTTGCTAATGTAAACAAAGACAAGATTACGTCCAAAACACGTCAGGCATTGTTTCTGATAGCAACTTTCTGTGGGTCCGTCGCCGATTTGACGTCAGATCGGCAGAAAATCTGTATCAGCTCGTTGTACCCCTGTTTTTAAAAGATTTGGGTACAGAGGAAAAGAGAGAGGGTTTTATTTGCTGACGCTGCGTGAGTTCCCCGACACACCGGGGACACATGTTTATGTATAAAAGACATCACAAAGTGCATTTTGCATGATAGGTCCCCTTTAACTGAATGAACACCAAGGTTGATCTTAATCTTAAAGGTCATGCTTCAGAATATGATTTGCATCAGTTTTGTACTTTATAAACCAGAACATATACAAATATAAAAAAAGAGTGGTGCATAGAAATGTCTCGCTTGTGGCCATACTTTTGTTTCTTTGAAATATAACTTAGTTGTCTTATTTAAACAGCAGAACAATGTTGAAGATAAGCTACAGTGGAAGAGTAAATATTTGTTACTATGTAAATATCCTAGCTCTGAATCACATGTTGTCCCCTGAAACACAGGCATTTCTACAGGTTAGAATGATAACCCTGTATCAACAATTGTATATCGTGTAATCATTATAGATTTAGGTCTGGCTGTTGAGGAAAGCTGGTTCATGCTGTTTACATTAATAAAAGAAACCAGCTTCTGTGTACATGTATTATGTAGGCAATGTTATAAGCACAGCAAGTACATTCTGTGTTGATGCATCAAAGTGTCACTTTGTACACTGCTTGTTTAACTTGCAATGGATGGGAGTAAACATGCTTTTACCCCATAGCTTTATTCAATAGCAGAACCCTTGACTTGCTCTTGATAATGTCTTCAACAGAGCCACTGGGGCAGGTCACCGAGTGGAAACTGTGTGTCTGTTTATATTTCTGGTGCCTTCTGATGTGGGAACCACACCCAGGCCTATAGTCCGTGTTATTAGGGCAGTTGGCTGGGAATCCACCCACAGCACTGCAGCAAGCTGAGGAGACATACACACTGCCAAGGGAGGCATTGAGCAGGAGAAAGTGTGCACATGCCTTCTTATAGACGCATGGAAAATAACAAGCTTACAGTCTCGTCCTCCCTTTGTGTTACATACTGAGCGGGACAGGGACACTGTTCTATTTTGTCTCTTAAATCAGGGTTAGTTCATAAAGTATTTCTGCTGTCATGATGATCTGTTCCTCCGTGCTGAGCGGGCAGTCTCTGAGCAGGAAGCAGGAGGCGCTCTGATCAGCTGCTCCTCCACCACAATCAATACATACTGTGTCACTGAACGAGAGGCATCTCCACTTAACATTCCCGTGCTGGATCCACGGCTAATGCACAGACACTTCCTGCCATCGTTACGGTTCGGAAGAATGATGATAATGTTCCCTGAGGTTATTAATATGTCAATAGCTACATCTTTGATATGTCTTGGTGTTATATGCCCATTTGGAACCATTTAGCAAATCAATAAGCGGGACTGCATTTAATGGCAGCGTTTTATAATATATCAGGTTTAACACAACTCCTTCTCAATTGATTTTTTTCCAATACATCTACTATATTATATTCAGAATTTTTAATTGGAATCCCAGAAGGTGCATTATTTAATTAAGGTATAATATTTATCAAAAAATTATTCTGATTTAAGTATTGTTTTTTGCTGAAATGTCCAAACCTAAAGATGTTATTACGCAGTTTAAAGAAAGACATCTGTTATATAATATTAAAAAAAAATCTACTTTTAGAATAATAGTTCAAACATTCCCTTTTTATATAATCACAATCAGATGGGTTTTGCAAAGTGTTAAGTCCTAAAAGCAAAGCAACATGATATAATCATAAGATTTTTCTTGGTCTAAACAGTTATACTAAACAGGCTTTAACGTTTTGATACAAATCTGTTCTTGTCCAGAGTCTGACTAATGATAAATTGAGTGGAAAAGTACAACCAAACGTGAGTTGGCAAAGTCTCAGTTGAGCTTATCTCCCAGCCAAGGCGAGGCCCAGTGAGAAATGTTAAAGGTTGACTTGGTTGCAGATTTCCTCCCAGAGCATCGCTGCGTGATGGTGCCTGAGCGTCATCTGTAGAACCGGTCTGAAGAGCTCACCAACCTGTTTGCTTGCATTTCCCCTCCTCCTGTTGTCCTCAGCAGGCTTCCCTGTGAGCTCAAAGCTTTGTTTTGCTGCCCTTTACCCGCCCGGTGTGCACTGTAGTGGCTCCGAGCCTCAGCAGTACGACCGCTGATATTATGTGACATGCTTTTATGTTTCTGTGCACGGGCTCCAATTATGTAAGGCCTTTTTACGACCAGCCCTCTGCTCCCCTCTCTACATCATTAAAATCATTTGGCTCTCAGTGGATGCAGACATTAGCAGAGCTCAGCTGTTAATGCAAATCAGTGAGTCGGCTTAATGTGATTAAAACTTTGAGTTTTCTTTACACATTTTCTGACTTCTAATGTAGAAGCACTACATGTACAGTCACACACTTAATGCATGTGACGCTACTATTACTACTGCCAGTACTATTAGTAATTATACAAGTAACACCATTTTCTGAATACAAAGTCATATTTTAGTTAAGTATTCCTTTGTTATACTTTTACTGCATTATTCTCTCAGCCTTTTGTAATTTAAGTGTACACATAAATATTGAACAAAACAAAGCTGAATAAGTGTTATTTGTAATTCTCTTTTTCTATCTCTGTGAAGTTATTGAATAATAATAATAACTTATTTTGATTAAATTAAAGCCTTGAGCTGCTCTGCCTTTTGAATCTAAGTAATTCATTAGTTTGATTTGCCAAAGGCATATTTCTTCACGAGTAATTCAAGCTAACAATAAATGTGAATGCTCAGTGGTGTTTTACATTAGGCGACGCATTAAAAACTGTCTTTGTGAGCAAAGAGCTTCTACTTGTCTTTGTGTTTTCTTCAGAACTCAAACAACACAGTCACTTTACAGTCATGTTTTGAGGTGGAAGGTTCTGTGATCTTATATTTTTGATCTTCGAAACACTTTTTGGTTTACAGTTTTAATACTTTATCAAAAGTGTGTGGATAATTCAATGAGTTACGGTCATTCAGTTATACTCTCAATCAATCATTTGCTTTTGTTCTCTTTTCTGTCATTGTAACAGACAAACATTGGTTTTGGACCTCACCTTGCACCTTTGTCTTTACTCTCAATACATTCCTGATAAATACAAATCGGTAATGTTAGTATAATTCCCATGTTCTGGAAGGCAAATAATATGCGCAGTGATGTTTTCCTCATGACTTGAAGTTCTCTAACATGTATGCTGTTGTGCTAACCTGAGATAATCTCTAACGTGTGTGTGTGTGTGTGTGTGTGTGTGTGTGTGTGTGTGTGTGTGTGTGTGTGTGTGTGTGTGTGTGTGTGTGTGTGTGTGTGTGTGTGTGTGTTCCAGTGGGATCTGGTGTGTGGTCAGTACTGGCTGGTCCCAGTGGAGGAGGTGTGCTTCATCCTCGGCATCCTGACCGGCTGTCTGGGCCTGGGCTATGCTGCTGACAGGTAACACACACACACACACACACACACACACACGTCCAGTCTGCAGATGGTATCCTGCAGATGCAAGCAAGATAGCTTTAGTACCAAGAAGCCCAGATGTCATTTTCTATTATAAGACATACATTTGTGCAAGATAAACTACAGAATGTATCTCAATCACGATTTACTACACATAAGCATGAGTTAGGGCCTTTACGAAAGTGAAATGCATTATAATGCTAGCTTTTAAGGCATAGTGCACGGCTGTCTGCATTAGGCACAGTCTCTGATGATTGTCACAATGGCTCCAGCCTGTGCCTGCTGTGTTGTCAGATTGAGAATCACAGAGGGGAAGCAGTAGTTTTTAGGGAGAAGGGAGGGAGATGATGCCAGTTTAATCAGCTAACAGCCTTCATCTATTTGCTGACCAATTGAGCCTAGTGTCTGTTTGTTAAGACTGGTGAATTAATGCTGCCTCCTGGTACAAAGGAGAACAGGGGGCAGTGCTAATCTGCAGGCTGGATACAAAGTGCTGCACCTGCATGGCAAAATGGCTAATCATCACATTTACTTATCAGCAAGTGAGCTGAGGTGAAAAATGCCTTTTTATTTTCTTGTGATCACAACATCTCTTTTGCTAAGTTTGAGGTAATATCACATTTAAGGTTGTCTGCAGGTTTTCATCTTAGGCTTTAAATCTGGCCTTAAAATTGTATTAAGTAAAAAATGATAGGCTGTCCATCGTATATACATCAATTCAGGAATGTGGTAGAAAGGCTAATGGTTCAGTTCTAACTGTGTCCATTTGATCTTATCTATTACATTCCCAGTAGACTGTATTTTCTGTTCTCCACGCTCTTGCTGTTAATATTTATTTTATGTGAAGTGTTTTTACTCTTGCATAATCAGGACTTACGAGATCATTTTTTGCTGTTGCAAGTCTCGGTTTAAATGTTTTTACCTTGATTTGGATTTAACTGTCTTTGCTAATCGTTTTTGTTTTATGCTAATTACTTAATAGATTTGTGAAAATATAAATCAGCAATATGCCAATTTCATTAATGAATAAGTTGTTGATGTTTTTGTTAAACATGTGTGTCCTTTCCCTGCAGGCTGGGCCGGTCTAAGACTCTGCTGGCCTCTCTGACCCTGTCGGTGGTGTTCGGGGTGCTGGTGTGCGTCGCTCCGAGCCCCCCCATCTTCATCGTCATGCGTTTCTGTTTGGCGGCAGCTAGTGCTGGAGTCTACCTCATTCTGTACATCACACGTGAGTATTTCAACATTTAAAGCACAGTTTGTTTTAGTGTAAATGTACAAACAAGCAAGATTAAAAGTATGTCATTAGTTGAGAAAAACACTATATAGCTTTCCTTCTACAGCTATGTTGTTAATGTTAATTATGACTAACCCAAATGAGTCAGTAATGATGTTGTGTGTTCCCTTCAGGTCTGGAGCTGTGTGAGCCGTCTCTCAGGCTGCTGGTCACCATGCTGGCCGGGCTGATGACTGTTGCTGGAGAGCTGCTGCTGCTGGCCGTGGCTCTGGGCTGCCAGTCCTGGAGGGGCCTGCTGGGGGCTGGCGCCGCCCCCCTCACACTCTTCCTCTGTTACGGGTACTGCTTATCTGTTTGAAAAAATATCCATGTAGGATTATTTGTTTGTAAGCTTCCTGTGAAATGTTCAATTGTAGCTCTTTTATTCCATCCAGTACGTAATCAGTACTTGCGTTTCATATTTAGATGTTCCTCTTTTCTGTGTACTTGTATATGGACACATGTTTTATTTCCCTGTGAAACTGGGGGGACAGGAGAGTGAAGGAACCTGATAGTCTTTTGATAAAGTGTCCAGATGCCAGCTGTCTGGCTGAACGCTCTGTAGGACCGTATTGATTCCAATGCCCTCGTCACACTGAAGCTTTCAGTTCATGTCAGAATGCATTAGGACCACTTTGTTTATGGTCCCCGGTCCCTAGGACTTCTGTAACAAGATTAGCCTCCATTGCCGTTTCAAAGCAAAATTACTAAAGATGAAAGTATGATTACTAGCAGTGGATTACAGGTTTAGAAATAAAGCTGGAGGAATTCTGCTAATGTGCGACCTACATTTGTTTTTCATGAAGCAAGATGCACATTTGGGTTATAAGTGCTGGTGAAAGGTCAGCAAAGATCAAAGACTGAGCCGAACATATGTTTTGTCTCTTCTGCAGCATTCCCGGGGTGTTCCCTGAGTCTCCTCGCTGGCTCCTCCTGTCAGAGAGATCTGCAGACATGAACTCCTTCACCGAGAGGAGAAACTCCAACAGGGACCTGAGGGATGACGAGAGCTTCACAGGTGTGTTTGTGTGTTTGTGTGTTTGTGTGTTTGTTTGTGTGTGTGTGTTTGTGTGTTTGTGTTTGTGTGTTTGTTTGTGTGTTTGTGTGTTTGTGTGTTTGTGTTTGTGTTTGTGTGTGCAGAGAGTTTAGATTCTTACTGTCCTCCACAAAAAGACAGCAGCTTACATTTTCCTGCATCAATGCTGGGTTTGGTTTATGAAGTCTGCATTATTTATGGGTTACTTGATGCAGTGCATTTCAAAACATGATGATGACCTATCACACACAGCACTACCCCGAGCAGGTAATGATGCTCAATTATAATTCATGATTTATAAGAGTCATGGAATTAGAATAAGGCATGATGCCGTGCATAGACAATGATATGGTGGATATCCACTGTGCCACTATTTGGTGACATGGATTTGACTCCTTCATTTGTTGGGGCTCCCCATAGATCACACTGCTATATAAGTAGAAATAATGACAATAGATGCAAAAGTACCTATTTGTTTTAATATATTTAAATATTTTCTACTTGTATTATTTCAAAACCATACAATAATTTATAAAAACTAACCTATAATCAACAATGCTGTGCTCAATGTAACACTTTCATCCCCGCACACTAATCTAAATATGTATTACTTTGCATATTGTAAAAATCAGTCAACACATCCATGCATTTCCAAAGGTGGCCTATTGCTGGAACTCCGAACAAAGTCTATTCTTGGAATCTCGTATAAATATTTTTTTTATTGCAGAAATATTACGATATTGGTTAACATCAAGTGTTACCATAGCATACACGTTCATTCTCTGGCTATTGAACAAACTCTATTTGACAAATAGACATTGGAACATTGATTTGTCCTCTTGTACATGTTTCTCAGACATAAATAAACACTGACAGTGAGATATTGATTAAAAGAGAATCCAGGTCAGGTCATCATTCTCTGTCTGTTGTTGTAAATTACTCCTGTTTTAATGCTGCAGAGCTGGACTCAGAGCCGGCCCCCTCCTCACGCCCCCACCTGTCCTACCCAGAGCTCTTCCACAGCAGGAACATCTGGAAGAACATGTGTGTGCTGGGCTTCACCTCGTAAGTCATCCCACACTCGTGACAGTAATTTAGCACCTCTGCAGTTTCCACTTTAGTTTGCGCTGCACTTTTATTAACAGGAACTGGTTGCTGCTGCAGTTTCATCCTCATAGTGTCTTGACTGATTATTCCCACTTTTCTAAAAATAACTTCTCACTGCTTACTCTTTGCTTCTCCTTCCTTCCTCCTTCAGTTTCATCTCTCACGGCATCAGTCACTGCTACAGCTCTTTCCGTGGAGACGTCAGAGGCACGGCCCCCAGCTTCTACTGGACGTACCTGCTGTCGGTGTGTGCGGGGGGGGGCGCCTGGCTGCTGCTCTGGGCCACGGTAGACAGGTTCGGTCGCCGTGGCATCCTGCTCCTCGCCATGACAATGACGGGGCTGGCCTCTTTGATCCTCCTGGGACTCATGGAGTGTAAGCAGCCTTTAGTCGCAGGATATTGTTTTTGCCAAGTAAACCTGGAGAGGGATGAAGAAATCTATTAATAGTCTTTACGACACCATGATACTTAACTGTCATTTTTCTTGCATCCCAGCAGCTCAAGGACAAATATTTAAGAAAGCAACAAGGGAACATATTTTTTCCACGATGGCTCTTAATTTCAGGATTGACTGGTGAACAAAAGAGTGTCCAGTCTATCGTGGGTCTCACTTATGTGATGCTAACAATTCATATTAGCTGTTCAGGAGAGGATAAGGGTGGCACATTGACTCACAAGTCACCTCTGTTGTTGTCGAGACATTATGTGAGGCTTGTATGAGGATTGCATGTTTTACTTCCTCTAACTGGAATGAAGGTCAAAGTTAGCTTAATAGATGCTTAACCACCATAGTTATGTGTTAAGTTAATCATGCATTATGAAACGGGTCCAAAGCAAACCGGTCAGATCTGTTCATGGAAAATTATGTTCCATGGAAAATTATGTTCCAGGTGCCTTTGTCTTCCCCCAGCATGATGTCCAAACACTCTCACACAGTTGCCTGAGTCTCAGTCTCCTCCTTGTGGCTGAACATGGGTATGACACCCCGTTTATGTAGGACACTGCAGTGGCAGCAATGTCAAAGCTGTGTCAGGAGCTGAGCTTTAATCATGCATCAAAGGCTGGGGGGGGGGGGTGAAGCACTGGGTGGTGGTGTGTTTCAGGTCACCTCTTTTCACTGCTTTCTGTGTCTACTGTTAATTACAGTAGTCTGGAAGCTGTAGAGAAATGACTCAAGAGTACTTACATCACTTCAAATCAACAGGGCAGCATGATATATCTTCAGAAAGGCTGCGGTTCATTAAGGTAGTCCACAGTAACTGATGGTTGTCCCTCCTCCTCCTCCTCCTCCTCCTCCTCCCTCCTTTAGATCTCAGTGAGACGGCCATCACAGTCTTCTCAGTGCTGGGTCTCTTCTCCTCCCAGGCCACCGCCTCCCTCTGCATCCTCTTCACTGCAGAGATCATGCCCACTGTCATCAGGTAACACATCAACACTGATTTTAAAAGCTACAACTCTCCTCGTTATTACGTTTTGTACAAATATATTGAGATGTGAAAAATGAGCCTGCTCAGCTGCTGAAATGAAGGACATGAAAAATGCAGTACATTTCCATCATCGTATCTATAAGTAATGAAGAGACGCTTTTAGATATCTGAGAAATGTCTTCATTGACAGGGGTCGCTGAACATTTCTGACAGCTTAGCTCATTATCTTTTGGAGCTGAAAGAAACGCCTGATGGGGGGCTTTATGGTAGTTTACTCTGTAAAGCCTGATATTTCTTAAACATATTTTATTAAGCCATACTTGAATAGTTCAATCTGCATATTTGAAAATCGATATCCTTCTTATGACTGTCTGCCAAATATGAGGTTACAGCTAGGTAGGATGTGGTTAGCTTAGCCTAGCATAAAACAGAGGAAACGGCTAGCCTAGCGTTGTCCAAAGGTAAAGACATGCTTAAACTCAAGTTTCGAATGGTCTAAACAAACAAGAATAATCAGCTTCATATTTATAGAACAACATCTAACTGTTAGTAAAGTACATTTCCAAAAATATGGAACTATTCTTTTAAAATTATGCACAATAGGTAAACGATATAAAGATTAAACTTTGTAAAAAAAAATGTTTAGGCACTAGAAGAAAACAATCCACTTGAAGTCTTCTTTTTGTACACCGAACAGCAGCAAGACAGAAATGAACTGAGAGTTTTGTCTTCGATAAGTGGAGAGTGAACAATAAAAATGGTGTGTGTGTGTGTGTGTGTGTGTGTGTGTGTGTGTGTGTGTGTGTGTGTGTGTGTGTGTGTGTGTGTGTGTGTGTAGGGGCAGTGGTGTGGGCATAGTGCTGGCTCTGGGCTGCGTGGGCCGCCTCAGCTCCCCGCTCATGGACCTGAGGAACCACTACGGGTACTTCCTGCACCACGTGGTCTACTCCTCCCTGGCCCTGCTGGCCGTGCTGTCCATCCTGCTGCTGCCCGAGAGCAAGAGGAAGCCTCTGCCGCAGACGCTGGGCGACGGGGAGCAGTACCGGCGCCCCCCGCTGGGCAGGAGGAGGAGGGACAACGTGCCGCTGCTATCCACGCCCAACCCAGAGACCTAAAACACTCCTGAAAAAGGGTCGGATGGATTGAAATCACCCACTCTGCAGCTAGAATATTCACATCCATCATGCAGAGGAGGAGAGCTGCACAGATGATTTGGACAATGAGGGACGGTGATCAGACTCTAAGCTTCCTAACATATCATCCTCAAGTCATTCCAGGCGGTTGGTTCGAGCTGCCATTTCTTCTTCTTCACCATTCTCCCCTTCCTGCCATTCACATGTGTAGATCTAACAGCGACACATGCAGGGAGTCCCCATCCTCATCTCCATGTGCACACCAGCATACACTGCTGCATCTGTGCGTCTGTCGTAGAGATGTTAGTTGCTTGATACGGCACTCCAGACCAGAGGGGGCCCGGAGAGTAGTCGGCAAATTATTCCTAGCATTTGACGTAGAGCGTTTTTTGTGGTGTTTGATGTGTACGACAACAGTAGAAGTGCTCGGAGGTGTGCAAAATCAAAGCAGAGTCAGCTTTGTGTACTTTCCTGTGACACCTGTGGTAAAACTCTCCCATGTGGCAAAACTCTCCCATGTGGCACTCCCAACAGGGGTAGACCGCTGTTCTCCAACACATGTTGTTTGAGTGTTGGTGCCTTGTAAATACTCTAGACCTAGTTTCTTTAACTTGTAGGGCATCTGAGTTACATTAAAGCAGACCCTGTAGTTGGAAACTGTACAGTACGCTGTACAGTGAAGAAGCGGTGCAGAGCACTCTGAATTTTTGTTTTAAAGATGGTGGTTAACTTGAACAAAATCTTCAAATTTAAGGGACAGTTGTGCGAACCAATCAGTTTTGGAATGAGGGTGATGGGCGGTGGTGGTGAAGTCCATAGGGACTTGGCTTGGCAACTGGAAGGTCACCAGTTCAAGTCCCGGAAAGACCAAGTGCTACCGAGGTGTCCCTGAGCAAGGCACCGTTCCCTACACAGCTCCCCGGGCGCCGTTCATAATGGCAGCCCACTGCTCCTAACACTAGGATGGGTCAAATGCAGAGAAACCGTTTCGTTACATAGTACCTGTACTACGTAATGACAATAAGTTGAATCTTCAATCTTCTTCAATAACTCACACAAAAAAGGCCTTAAAACAGAAAAGAGTTCAAACTGTGTAAACAAATTCTTTGGTCTGGCCTGGAGCCAGCAATATGTATGTCTTATTTATGTTGTTATTAATCTTAATCAGTAAATTATCCAGAGCCCTAGCATTTTTAAGTATTAAGCTAAAGATTGTTAAATTGGGTTGGCTGCAAACTGTCACAACATTCCTCTCTGCATGTCCGGGAGCACTGCAGGGCTTTTTTCTGTATTTCCTCAGAAGCTAATAGTTATTTAATACCTCTCTAAATGACCAGCTGTAAAAGAATAGACGGGTATGACCAGTAGAAGTTTAAATATGACTTCTATAACCAGGCACATATGTTGTATGTCAGCACTAAAATGTGTACGTTTTGAAAGAGGTCATCGGTTATCTTGCCTGAATGTTTATCGATGCTGGAGAAAGGGCCCGGTGATTATGCTCAATGGGAGCTGAAGAGGGCCTTCGAGCTGAACCCCCGACTCCTCAACCACGCACCGAGGAAATACTTTCCCTTATGGCTTTTTTATTTTTGAGTGTGCTGGCTGATGTTGCACATGGTTACATCATGACGGAGAATTACCGAAGCATGGCCATTTTAGTGCTTCACAAAAATATCCCAATGTATGCTTGTGTTCTTGGATAATTATTTTCCTGGGCGTGTGATTTTTGAGAGGAGACGGGAGTAATTTGGACTCTGACGTAAAGGATTTACTAAAATAATTATGAAGGACAATTTAGCTGATGGCTTCTTCCTCATTCAGCCTTATGTCAATTTTCTTCCCCACTTTGTATGTTGCACTCGACAAGTCCTAACACGTATACACTGATAATTATTATCACTATGTTTTACTTGACTCGAGTAGTATTATGTCTGACACCACTGATGACCTGTTAAATGATGAGTGTTATGCAGTTAACTATATAACCTGATTTAATGTAAAATAAAATTGGTTGAATAAACGAGACATGGGCATTTTTTGTACGGGAGTTCTACCAATATGATATGTGTGAAGTTGTGCTCCTGTATAAAAACGAATCAACTGAGATTATTTCCAGTTCATTAGTCTTGTCTGTGCTCTTTCCCCTGCTTTATCTTGACTCCTCCCACTAGGCACTGATCAGGTGAGCTGTTCCTTCCAGGTGTAAGGGGGCGTGGCCTGGGGAACAAAGGGGAAGGGAATTGTTTTGGAGGGAGTTTTGAGACAGAGAGGAAAGAGGGAAGCCTGGCAGTGAATTAAGAAGAATTTAGCTCTTTAGTATGTACTTGAGGAACATTGAGACAAGTGAACTGAGGACAATGAGGACTGATCAGCAACCCTCCTCTCGGCTGCTGGTGAGTTCCATTTATTTATCTATTTATTTTGGTGTTTTTTTCTTTTTGCAATGCTCTGTTTTCCTGCTGGCCTAACCACTAATTAATGATATAAGAAAAAAGATATGGCACAAGCTGATAACTGAAATCATCAGGTGAGTGTAAAAAAAACAGCAAATGCATCCAAAGGGGCAGTACGGAAATCCATATTTCAAAAACAGATAGACAACAAGTTACAAGCTCACAGAAACTTTAATAAATGGGAAGGCAATCAATGAAAATGGTCTGGTTTAATCCTGCAGAGCTAACGATGGTGATTGGAAACGGGTGTGTGGGAAGGTAAGTATGCAGGTCTGAAGTGGGAACAGGTGTGTAGGTGGGGGGTGTCAGGTACAGTACCTGTTGAAACCACAAGATGGAGACGTACAACAGGCTCAATACTTGAGTAGAAGTACCAGAGTGTACGAGAACTCGGTTACAAGTAAAAGTCCTGCAATCAAAACGTTACTCTAGTAAAAGCACAAAAGTATTAGCATTCAAATATACTTAAAGTACTACAAGTACTAACTATGCAGATTTGCCCATTTCAGAATAATATATATGATCTGTTCTGAGTATAATTATTGATGCATTAAAGTGTTAAAACAGAGGACTCTGCTTAGGGATTCAATGTAGGATCAGTTGAGTGTAGATTAATTAACAACAGCTGAACATGTAAAAACAAATGTTTCAGAATTGATTGGAAAATAAAAGTTAGAAAAGTAAGCAGTGCTTGACAAAGGACTCAGATCTCTTATTAATAAAGCAGCCTATTTGCCACAAAATAAGGGCCAGTGTGTGTGGTAGTCATGGGATCTATGAGCAGAAACGGAATAAAATATTCATAACCATGTTTTCAGTAGTGTTAATCACCTGAAACTGAGAACGTTTTTCCATGTGCAGCTGGTGTCAGCTTGCTGTCTGTCTTTGTCTGCAGACATAGCAGCTCAGCAGGAGAGACATTGTGACGAGTGCAAGGCAGCTGAGAATGAGCTCAACACAGATTGTTATGTTCCACCCTGATAGAAGAACAATGGCCTCAAGGTTAGAGCACGCCTCTCTGAACACGAGGTGCGGATCTGTGAAAGTTAGAGAGCAGGGCGAGATAGGTCGTCCTACTTTCTCCAGTCACATAGGAGCCCATTAACACCTTGTAGAGGGGCTGCACACTTTCCCGAAAGCATTTGACAGCACACTTGACCTTTGCTCGCTGAAGCAATAAATCCAGGACCCCAGCCCTAAACTCAGGACCTTGTTATTTACATTGCGAGTGCTTGTTAGAATTCAGAAGCAGGCTCGAAATGCCATGTGGGAGTTGAATGAATGCAGTCTATCTTTTTCCTACTACATGAGCAAGTAAAACAAATGTGCTACTAGTTTTGGATGCCAGACTGTATACGTACATGCATGGATCGCCACGAAATGTTGACTAACCTTTGTGTTTAATGATCATTTTAAATGTTTGAAAGTTCACCACTACAATGGTGAACACAATATGGTACGCATGATACTTGATAACCTGAGAATTGCAGTTTAGATGTTATGATTGTGCAAACTTAATCACCATTAACTTTATCGGTTTCTCCACCAATATCTTTATTTTTCCATCTTTTTAGGAACCCATTGGAGACAACCAGAACCTAAATCTCCCAACTTCCCAACATCCCTCTCTTCTCGTCCAGTTTCAACCATCATATATCGCTCCTCAGATTGTCCAATAAACGATTAAATCAACCACACAAGGTGTTGCTTTTCAATGAATGAGTATGTGGGAATCAGTTACAAAGACTGTCAGAAGAACATGTCAGAGGCCAGCTCTTCCACAGCAGCTGAGGACTGACAGGGTTAGTTTGGTGAAAGCTAATTAGATTCCTCAGGGTTAGGGTCTGCGGTGTGGGGCATCAAGTGTTGAAAAGGTCTTGTTATGCTATGCAGAGGTCTTGAGGAGTTAGATGTCATCTCCAATATCTGAGACACGTTTCCACCTTGTAGACGGCTTAACACCTCGCATGGTGCACAAATAGCTGGTTTGATCCTTGTGAATTCAGACGATTTACAAGTTGAGTTTATGCTGTCCCCTCTCTGCTCCCAAATGGCTGGACATTAAATTCAATTGAAAGAAGATGCACACGATGTTGGTTGTCAAAAGAGTGCAGTAGATTGGGTTTGGCACTGACATTGATCCATTTCTTATTCACTTGTAAGCGTTTAAATTGGTAAAGAAAATCTACTTTATTTAATTTAATAGTACACACTAGGGCTGTCCCGAATATCATTTTTCGGGCTCTGGATATTCGGTAGTAATCAGCAGCGAATATTCGGTGCGGAGAGATTTGTATTTTTTTTTTAATAAAAACATTTTCAAAATGGTTTCATAACACGCTCCGAATCCGAGACACCTGACAACACGCTGTTAAGCAGAAGCGCAGAAAGAGCATACTATTACGATTTATATGTATTTATTGTCTCAGTACTCGCAAACATTCAAACTAAATGTGTCCTCTGCATTTAACCCAGCCGCAGTGCAGCGCCCGGATCCTATTATCCTATTCGGATAAAATAAAAAAACTAATATAAAAAACAATTCGGTTGCATGCTTGCAACTATTTTCCAAGCAAAGTAAGTGCACGTTTTTATCATGTGTAACGTTACTGTTTGAACGGCGGATAAAGCAGCTTCATCATGGCAAATTGACAACAGCTAAGGCTAAGCTAAGCTAGGCTACTACTTACTAGGGTTGCCAGAAACTGACCATGATCAAAATCGATTATTCGGCAGCCCTGGCGAATAATAATCGATTATTCGACAGACCCCCCGCGGGAGAGAGAAAAAAAAAAACTCAGACAAAACATCTTAATTTTTATCAACATGATGTTGGTTTATTTTTTGTTATTTTCTAAAGTGCCTGCCATTGCCTTTATTTGGAGATGCGCTATGCGCGCACAATGTATTTATTGCAATGCTGCCATTATTAAATACAGGCTACAGCTTGTATTAATAATAGCAGCATTGCAATAAATACATTGTGCGCGCATCGCGCATCTTCAAATAGATACATTTATCATTCTATCTAAATAAATTATGGTAAATCAGCTTTGGTGAAGATAAAAATGACTTTGTTTATGAAGTCCTGCTGCAAGAAGAATAATGGCATGCTTAATGTATCAGCAGTGGTTGATGATACATGGCTAACCAATGCATCTCTTTATTTTTGATTACATCTATTAATATTGCGGTGTTGATACCACAACTCAACAACCTAACATGTCAATATACATACGATGAGCTATGCTATGATGAGCTTCAGACCCAAGGCCAGATCTCTTAGACATTTAGTTCATGCTGATTTTAGGGGGGGCTGCACATTAGATAATTTCCTCCTGTCATCCTAGGTCATTTAGGGCTTTGCACAGGGGCCACTTTTGCAAAATGCACCGCTACCTATCTACCGATTAAATCAAATATAAAAGTCAGCCGAATTAGTATTGATACTGCAAGGAGACGTATTGTGTGAAGAGAAATTGAAGATGTTGTTTAATTGCGGATATATTTATGATCCACATCAAGTATTCAGTTTCGGCGGCATTTCTTCCAGTTTGTCCAGAAGTCTTCTAATCATGGCTTTATAAATAAAGAACTACGGCAGATGTGTAATATTTAATGTAGCCGAACCGTGTATTACAATGCCGTTATTTGATTACCTTCAAAGAGAAAAGCAAGCAAACTCGGAATAAAGTATTTTTATTAATTTTTTTAAATGTTTTTGGATTTCACATCAACAGGAAGTCCGGTTAACTATAATGTCCGTGCGCAACAATACCCCAACCCAGCGCCATATAGAGAGAAGAGTTACGACAGCGGAGGACCAAAATGCTTGATCGTCAAGTGGTTCAGGGAGACTCAATAGTTCCCCGGAAGTTCGTGGCGGGACATTTGAATGCATGATTACCGGAGATAGAACTACGATTTTTGGTAATAAGTAGTGAATAAAGGTTTAGATTTGCAATATTTATACAACATACCGATATGTGTATGTATTTACATCAATATGTTTTAAAAATACTAAGCTAAAAATGCTAATATTTATGTATATTAGGAATAGTGTGAACAGCTAGTT